GTGGCCCTCACCACCTGTGTGCCTGCACCTTGCATGTCTACCTGCCAGAGAAAGCACATTAAACAGCCTCCAATAACACTCAGTCAGTTCCAGATATCTCAACCTGTGATGCTTTTTATATGTTAATCCAGATACAGTTCCCTTTAAAGGGGCGCCAACCAGAGGTCTTATTCGCATCAATTCTCTCTTAACTGTCTGTATTAATTGGCCTCGACTTGTAAATCATACACTGATTCACTGCTGCTATATTTCTTCTTGGGGGGGGGGGGGAAGAGCCTGTGTGTGTGTGTGTGTGTGTGTGTGTGTGTGTGTGTGTGTGTGTGTGTGTGTGTGTGTGTGTGTGTGTGTGTGTGTGTGTGTGTGGGTATTCACCTAATTATCCACACAATCCCTGTGAACCCCCATACACATACACGCTAGAAATTGGGGTCACGTCACATTGTTTATTTTCCTCATTTCCCGCGCTTCTACTCTCACTTGTTTTGGGGAATTTTTTCCCGCCTTCGATTCCTCGCACTCTGACTTATTCCAAGGAAATCTTCTGTATCATTCGTCCAGTTGCCGAGAGTCAGGTTATTACAATATTTCTTGTATGTTGGTATGCCTGCAGGTGGGATGTAAGATGATGGCAGAAACAAGTCGTGTCTGTCGTACAGTTTTAACAGCACATTTGAGGTCAGTTTGCATCCCTTCGGACGTGTCTTGGTCGCTTGGATGCAAATCACTATTTATCACATGTTGTGGAAACGGAATTTATGCAAATTACCTGTAGCATTGCCCAACCACTTGGGCTGGACGGTAGAGCGACGGTCTCGCTTCAGGCAGGTCGGCGTTCAATCCCCCGGCCGTCCAAGTGATTGGACACTATTCCTTTCCCTCCGTCCCATCCCACATCCTTATCCTGACCCATTTCCAAGTGTTATATAGACGTAATGGATTGGCGCTTTCCCCTGATAATTCTCTTCCCCTTCCCTTTCTGTAGACCCACCGTGGCCTCAGTAGTCTACCTGTAGCCCCTGGCTGTAGACCCACCGTAGCCTCAGTAGTCTACCTGTAGCCCCCTGGCTGTAGACCCAGCGTGGCCTCAGTAGTCTACCTGTAGCCCCCTGGCTGTAGACCCACCGTGGCCTCAGTAGTCTACCTGTAGCCCCTGGCTGTAGACCCACCGTAGCCTCAGTAGTCTACCTGTAGCCCCTGGCTGTAGACCCACCGTAGCCTCAGTAGTCTACCTGTAGCCCCTGGCTGTAGACCCACCGTAGCCTCAGTAGTCTACCTGTAGCCCCCTGGCTGTAGACCCACCGTAGCCTCAGTAGTCTACCTGTAGCCCCTGACTGTAGACCCACCGTGGCCTCAGTAGTCTACCTGTAGCCCCTGCCTGTAGACCCAGGGGCTGGTCATCCGGGTAGTAATCCGTGTCAGCGATTTGTTCCAATTATTTGGTTTGTGTTTACTTCTTTAGGAGACTATGGAGTATATTATAATGTTTATTTTGCTGTGTGTGTGTGACGGAACCTGCTTAAATAAGGCCAAGCTTCTCGCACAGACGCTCGCACGCACACGCACACGCACACGCACACACACACGCACACACACACACACACACACACACACACACACACACACACACACACACACATATGCAAAGTATCATTTGGGAGATGAAATTCTTCAAAAGTCAGAGAGAGAGGTAAGTCTTGGGGGTTGATATCCCGCAAGACCTGTCCCCCGAAGCCCATATCAAGGGGATAACATCAGCGGCATATGCCAGGTTGGCCAACATAAGTACGGCCTTTAGAAACTTGTGTAAGGAAGTTTTCAGAACTTTGTATATCATATGTCAGACGAATCCTGGAGTATGCAGCTCCAGCAATCTAGTCAAGCATAAGACTAAACTGGAAAAGGTTCAATGGTTTGCCACCAGACTAGTACCCGAGCTGAGAGATATGAACTACGAGGAGAAACTACGGGAATTAAACCTCACGTCGCTGGAAGACAGAAGAGTTAGCAGGGACATGATCACCACACACAAGATTCTCAAAGGAACTGATAGGACAAATAAAGACAGGCTATTTAACACAAGGGGCACACGCACAAGGGGACACAGGTGCAAATTGAGTCCCCAAATGAGCTACAGAGATATTAGAAAGAACTTTTTTAGTGTCACATTCAGTCTACCTGTCCTCTTAAAAAGAACGTCGCTTTTTTGCTCGCATGCGTTACCTAAGGCCTAAAAATCATCGTACTGGAAAATGGAAGCGGCTCGCGAAAGTGACGTATTCTCCCGTTTTCTGTTTTAGGTCCTGTGGTAGGCTAGGAGAGGACAGTTTAAACTGACCGTTTTCTTGATGTTGGGGAAACCTTAGGAGGACGGGCTGATTCAATATGATCCTGGATTGTTTAGTCATATGGGAAGCTGTGTGTCGCAGCTCTTTCTAATGCCTTGTTGTTCACCGCCTCTAGTGTTTACATACTCGTGTTCTATACGCTATGTAGTGGTTCTGGGGAACTGAAGAAGACTGTAACATTGCACATACTCTCATTTTTATGTAAATTTTGATTCCCGTTCTTTTAATCTTGAGACTCAGCGTTATGTCTATATTATCATTGCCACACCTGCCCTCCCCACCAGCCTGCCCCGGGGATGCTCTCATTCAGCGTCCTGGTGGAGGCTCTACCTAGCCTTGAAGAGTCATCCTACGAGCCCCCGTCCGTCCGCCTCACCTCTGACCTCCCCACCATGACTCCGTCTGTCCACACTCCTCTTCCTCGTTGACCATCCCAGGCTGAGTGGGAGGACCTTTTTCGTTTTTCTCTTCTTTTTTTGTTGTTGTTGACCTCCGGAGACGGTGGCAAGTTCCACCTCTGCGAGTACCGGCCGTAGAGGCGATAGTTGTGGATGTCGCATGACTGGGCCAAGGCTGCTTCGTAGGTGTGTTCTCATCTATTTGTGGCCGCAAGGGGTCGAGCTTCAGCTCTTGCACGCCGTCATTCTAACCGCCGATCGTCTAATTTAATTGGCTTATGGCCCTAAACTTAATTTATTTATTGCATTGTATCTTCATTTATAACTGTGGCTGGAGTGCACCTTCTTCCCCCACCAGGTCTATTTTGTTTCACGTTCCTGCAACTCATCCGCTAAACTAACATGCTTTCTCATATCTCCACGGTCCATGTGTCTCTAGGTGGCACCGGTGGCCTTTTGTGGTGATGGTATTCATTGTGAACATCTCATCTCTCTTCACACTGTCAATTCCACTCAATACATTATGTCAATAATTTCTCCAATTTCTCTCTCTCTCTCTCTCTCTCTCTCTCTCTCTCTCTCTCTCTCTCTCTCTCTCTCTCTCTCTCTCTCTCTCTCTCTCTCTCTCTCTGCTAACAAGGGTAGGGAGAGTTCCTCACGTCAGGTGAGGCATCCGGATGCCGTGACCACTGGGCGATGCTTGCCAACCTCGAGACGAGTAAGAGACGCATCCACAAAGAATTTGAAAAAATCTGTCCTTCAGAGCGATTTGAGACCTTACTTTATTTCGAAGATGAGTGCCTGGTTCACCCAATACCAAATACCTAAAAATATCAATATATAAATGTGAATGACCTCAGTAATCTAACCGAGAAAGGTCTCAGAGCCGCAGGAACAAAACACGGATTTACTCTCAAAAGAGGAACGCGCAGTAGTATAAAATGGCTATAAAAAGGTCAATAAAGATGTACAGTACAGGAGTAAAGAGTATCGGGAACATCCCACTGATAGAAACAAAGAACTAATGGCATATAAGGACACTATCTTTGTTGACATCAATGACACCATTGATAAGGCACAAGGAATTACGATTAGACGAGCTGGCAAGTAAGGGTGTCAAGGGGAGACGCATGAAATGGACGGAAAATTGTCTTGCACGAAGGAAAGACAATTTTTCATTTGGTGGATCAGTTGCGAATACAAAATGAGAATATAATTTGGAGCCGTTTAAGGAGGAATACAAACTAAGTACCACTATTCACCATCAAAATGAATGAAGTTGGCAGTATTGAATATGAAGGCATACAAGGAGGACGTGCA